TAGATTCGAAAAGTGATTTTTGACTGCAATAGATGGTTTATACGGATCCCAAGGTGTTCAGGAGTGATTTGACCCTTTAGTTATATTTTTGAATTTATCCCGCTTCCTCATCTGCGCTCATCAAGCCGACTTTGCTCTTTGGGAGGTGAAAGAGCGGTTGAAGCGGACATTTCAAAATGACAACGTCAAAGATATGTTTCTATATATACACGGTTACGGTTATCTCGAACTGCGTTCCAGAAAAAGCAGCCTACTTGTGGGGCACTGTGTACTTACAGCCTCTACGATAAGCAAATGAATGTGGCCAGTGCGTGGCGAACGGTTCATTAAGCCATTTTTCGCCTCAACTACCTAAATAGGAATAGGGGTAGTTTCCAAATTCGGGTAAGAAATTTGCACCTGACTGTGATAGCCCTCTCGATACCTTATTGGAGCTTGTAAAGTGGAGAAACAAAAGTTTGAAAGGACAAACTTTTGATTTGACCTACTTTTGCTCTTTATTTTAAATTATAATATTTATTATTTAATATTAATAATTAATATAATATATTTAGGTAAATCAAAATACTGAATAACACAAAAATTACATATCGAAAACTGAACTGAAATACCAAAAAATACAAAAACATATACCGACCACGAATCAAAAACCGAAATACCGAAATAATTCAATTCGGTTCGGTGTTTATGCCCAGCCCTAACTAGCTCCAAAGAAGAGAGATGTTGAGGCAGGTACCAAAGAAAAGAAAGTGGAAGAGGTAGTAAAAAGTTTAAATGTTGAGGTACCTGTTCCTCAAAAGAAACTACCACCTCCGTTTCCACAAAGGCTCAAAAAGCAGAATGAGGATGAATGCTTCGGTAAGTTTCGCTCTCTCCTTAAACAAGTTTACATTAATCTGCCTTTGGTTGAAATTTTGCACGGAATCTCGAAGTATGCTAAATACGTGAAGGACATTGTGGCTAGCAAGAGAAGGCTTATGGAGTATGAAACTGTAGCACGATCACATAGTAGAATCACAAGTAGTTGTTCCCGAAGATCCCTTGGAGAGAGTATTAGTAGGTCATGAGGTGGATGGAGATACTGAGGCTCAAGAGATAGAAACATGCTTGAATCTAGCACTGGTTGACACTCGTATGCTTCGAGCGGAGTCATTAGATCGTGAGTTAGGGCCCCACCAAAGCCATCAATAGAAGAAGCTCCCAAGCTGGAACTAAAAACTCTGCCGACTCACCTAAGGTATGCTTATTTGGGTGCTAATGAAACTTTGCCTATTATACTTTCTGCAGAGTTGTCTAAATTACAGTTGATGCGACATTGAGGATCTTAAAGTGGAGGGGGAAAGCGATTGGATGGCAGATGGATGATATTCCTGGGATTAGTCCGGCATTATGTATGCACAGAATCTACATGGAAGATATTCCCAAACCAATTGCACAACATCAACGTCGGCTATATCCTTTGATGAAAGAAGTGGTAAGAAAGGAAGTGATAAAGTGGCTAGATGTTGGAGTTGTGTACCCGATCTCTGATAGTAAGTGGTGTTTTACTTAAAAAAAAATGAAAATGAAAATAAAAATGGACTTGTTTCGAAAAATCGACTAAACTTATGATTTAAGAGAAATCGATTTTCCTAATAGAGAGTCGCCACTTAATTTTTTTGAAAGAAATTAAGAAAATTTATTTTTTCAAAAGACTCAAAAAGATGAAAATCAATTGAAACAAAAAGGGTTCGAGTTCAATGTACATTCCGAGAAGGTGTTAGGCCCTCGGAATGTTCGCTAACTTGCGGTTGACCGGCGATTTGACTAAAAAACACATTTGACTAACTTGAAAACTAACTAAGTAATAAAAAACCCATTTTTATTTGGAAGGAAATAAACCTAAAGAGATTTTAAAGTAGAATATTTCACATATTAACAAGACAACTAATAAAATAATTCATAAATAAAATAAGTATCTTAATTTGAACATAAAAGAAGAAATGATTATCTTTGGGGAATTAATTATGTCAAACCAATATCAAATAAAGAGTTAGTCAACATAACAAACAAAGAAATAAGAGCAAAGGAAAGAAATGTTAAATTTGGGCCAAAGGCCCAAATTCAATTTTTTTGGACTTGGTCTACCTGCATCTGAAAATTTCTTTGGGCTTTTGGGCCCCTTTTCACCCTGAAGTGACATGATATACACCAAGCGTATATCTGATGTATACGCCATGTATACAACTTGTCCTTGGACTCCCGAACCTATATTTCAATTTGAACTTTATATTCTTGCATTTTTCAACCTGCCTCTCCGTATTTTGGAACCTGTATATAGTATTTTCGTCTTTACACCGTTGTATACAGCCTCTTTCGGGACCTTTTTTGGACCTGAAAATCTAATTTCCAGCTCCCATATATTTTCACATTCTTCCTTGTACACCCGATAATCTGGTTGACTCAATCAAAGAAAGGAAATTTGAGCCTCTATGGCTCGATTCGGTAATGCAAGGGAAATAGATCCATCATGGGCTCGGAGGGGTTCATACAACAAAACGAAAGAGACAAAATTAGAAATCGGAATACTTAAAACAAATGAGACATAGTTCAATTGAAATAAGAGTCATTTAAGAAAATTCACAAACCAAGAGTCAAACAAACCCAATTATTAGGCCAAAATAACATATGACTTTTAAAGAAGACAAAATGAACTAAATTAACAATGTCACAAATTTAACAAAAAAAAACAACCTTTGACACTCAACGTAACAAGGGATTTAAGCAAAGAAGTAGTTAATACTTGTCCCGAAAATACAAGCATTAAGGAAAGGGAGAGAATATGGCTATGTCCAGATATCTATCAAACAAGGCCCTATCATTAATCAACCCAATATGTTTGCAAGCACAAATGAGTATAGATAAACACAATATTCGCCAACGACTAACATTACCGAGTAACAACATCTAGTACATGATTAAGACAAACAGTAAACTAAAATCGGGGCAGATACCTTCAGATTTAGATAAAGATAGGGGAGTTTATTATCAAATTAATACCACAAATAACAAGCATAAATAAGCCTCCTAATTCATGTTCAACTTAGCTTACTATAACATATGAAATATACTATAGATGTGATGACAATAAGATTCACAAAGAAACAAGATTCTCTCTCTCTCTCACACACACATATATAGATATATATAAAGAAGCTACACATGTTTAAGACTAAACTGGACACACATATATAAGAAAATACCGACGTAAGGAATCCGATTTTTTGCCAGACATATCCAAGGCTTCATTATAGCGATGTCAAGAAAACTATAGAGGCAAATTGCCAACACACTCATGAGCTAAAAAAGAAGAAGCAGTGAGCAACATATGACAACATAATCAACACATTCTGAGTCTAGATAACATGAACAATTACACTATTTCGAACAAATGATATAGAGACTCCACCAACTTTAGAGGATCAAAAACAAATTAAAGACTCCAAATATCAACCTACGATACCAAGAAAGCTTCATTGATACTCTGACTTCCAAAGAAAAACACACTGAAACGAGGAGCTAAACTCACTCACAACAGGACTCACAAACAGCATTGAACAAACAACAAACAAGAATCTTATCTCGGAGTCGAAAAAGAGACCAAAAACATCATAAAGAGAAATAATTTTACCTTTTCGAGGGCAGCGAGCTGAGACTAAACGAGCAGGAGACGACTTCACCACCACTACCTACACAAGCTTTGCTAGAGAGCTTGAATGAAGACTTCAAGGGCACAACCTTATGAAAATTCGAATCTTAAAGCTTTGATTATCCAAATCGATTTCTTTGTAAACCTATATCTCTCTCTGTGTATTTTCTGCTTTCTCTTGATTCAAAATTTTCCAACTTTTCTTCCCAATCCCCCTAAAATGGAGATAAAAATCGGTGTATATAGAGGGATATTAGGACTGATTGAAGGGGGAAACATGGGAGGGATTGGGGGGCCAACTTTAATTCGAAATTTGAATTCTTCCTTACAAACAACTGGAATACGTACCATTCTCAACGAATTTGAGAGGAGGACCGTTGATTTCTTCACAAGGATGATTAAGGTGCGGAGATGGAGACACCTAGAAATTTTTTGTACAAATGGATAAGAATGGAGGAGAGGGACGCGGAGGCTGCTAGACGTGATTTCTCATGATTTTGTTCAGTCGCGTCTGGGTGATTTTTGTTTCTGGGTTTCTGGTCGCGTTTGGGGAAGAAGACACGCTGGGGTCGTTTGGTGTGTTGTTGTTGCACGCTGCTGTATTGTATGTTGGTGGACTGGGCTTGGGAATTGGGATTGGGTCGGCTATATGAAAGAAGTGGGTTGATGAAGGCAAAAATGGGCTGGCTTGGAATAGAGGAAAATGGGGATTGAATTGGAATTGCAGCCATTGAATATGGGCTGCTGAAAAGTAAGCAAATGCCCAAAATTGATCGTAAAAGAATTGGAAGAGGTGGAAGGAAAATGGCTATATTCCAAATTAAGATATGGCCCAATTGGAATTTAGGACTTAACCAAATTGAGTTCGATTGACAAATTTGGCTAAAATTTAAATAAAAAATGAAATAATATTAATTAATTAACGAGCTTCTTAATCTCAACGAAATAAGACAATTAATTCAGTTATAACTAATAATTCAAAAAATATAAACTATTGAATAAACTGATTAACCAAATATTAAATAAAACTAAAGTCTTTTTTGAGACGACTTTTGAATATTTATAAAATGTACTAATTATATATAAAATTATATGAAAACATATTTACTATTTAAAAATTATGAAAGCGACTGAAATTACGTTAAAATAACTTGAAAAATATTTTGAATGTTATTAAACTAATTATTTCAGATTGTTCAAATTTGAAGAAAGTCGATTAATATATATTGTGGTGGTCTAAAATTGGGTGTCAACAAGTGGGTAAGTCCGGTGTAATGTGTTCCCAATAAGGGAGGTTTGGCAGTGGTAAGGAATGAAAAAAAAGTTGATTCCTACTAGAACAGTGACCGCTTGGAGAATTTGTGTGGATCACCGGAAACTTAATGATGCCATCCGGAAAGATCACTACCCCGTTCCCTTCATTGATAAGATGCTTGACCGACTAGCAGGGCAAGAGTACTATTGTTTCTTAGATGGGTATTCCGGTTACAACCAGATCTTGATTGCCCCGGAGGATCAGGTAAAGACCACATTCACTTGTCCTTATGGTACCTATGCTTTCAAATGCATGCCATTCGGACTTTACAATGCATCGACAACTTTTCAAAGGTGTATGATGACCATTTTTTATGCTATGGTGGAACACTTTGTACATGTGTTCATAGATGATTTGTCCATCTTTGGGAAGTCTTTTGAGGTATGTCTCCGAAATGTTGATAAAGTGCTTGCTAGATGTGAGGACACTAACTTAGTTCTAAATTGAGAAAATTGTCATTTTTTGGTTAGAAAGGGGATAGTGTTGGGTCACAAGGTGTGGAAGTTGGGATTAGAGGTTGATAAGGCCAAGGTAGAAGTTATTGAGAAATTACCCCCTCCCATTTCTATAAAAGGGGTGCGTAGTTTTCTTGATCATGCAGGTTTTTACGGGCGATTCATTAAGGATTTTTCCAAGATTGCAAAACCTATGTGCAGTCTTTTGGAGAAGGAGGTGAAGTTTGACTTTGATGAGATGTGTTTGAAAGCTTTTGAGATGTTGAAGATGACCTTAATTGAGGCTCCCATCTTAATTGCTCCTGATTGGGAACTACCATTTGAACTCATGTGTGATACAAGCGACGTAGCAGTGGGTGCAGTGTTGAGACAACAAAAGAATAAACTGTTCCACTCGATCTATTATGCAAGCAAGACCCTAGATTCTGCGCAAGCTAATTACACAGTGACTGAGAAAGAGATGCTAGCTCTAGTGTTCGCCTTTGACAAGTTCAGATTGTATTTGGTAGGTACTAAAGTGATTGTTTTTACTGACCATGCAGCTATTAGGTACCTTTTTAACAAAAAGGATGCTAAACCAAGGCTGATTCGATGGATATTTCTTCTCCAAGAATTTGACCTTTAGATTAAAGATAGGAATGGTATTGAAAATCAAATAGCTGATCACTTGTCTAGGTTGGAAGATTTTTCCCATGTGAATGAAGGTGAGCACATCCGGGAAGAATTTTCGGATGAACAATTGATGGCATTAGATATCTCTCAAGTGCCATGGTATGCAGACATTGTGCATTTGACAGTAAATGGAGATTATCCTCCGGGTGTAACCACCCAACAAAAGAAAAAGCTCAATCATAATGCTAAGTTCTACATCTGGGATGAACCGTTCTTGTTCAAGCAAGACGTGGACCAGGTAGTGAGAAGATGCATTCCGGAGTAAGAGGTTCACAAAGTGCTCGAAAGTTGTTATGCTAGCCCATATGGAGGTCACCACGGAGGAGAGCGCACAACGCATAAGGTACTTTAATCTGGTTGTTTTTGGCCCTCATTATTTAAAGATTTTATTGCTTTTGTGAAGGGTTGTGATAAATACCAAAGGCTGGGCACTATTTGATGTGTGGGGTATTGACTTCATGGGTCCCTTCCCACCATCTAGTGGAAACCAATACATTCTTGTGACTATGGATTATGTGAGTAAATGGGTTGAGGGTGTCGCTCTTCTTTCGAATGATTCAAGGGTGGTGATAAAGTTCATCAAGAAGCACATCTTCACTCAGTTTGGCAGTCCAAGGGCAATCATAAGTGATGGAGGTAAGCATTTCATTAACCATCTAGTTAAAAATCTTTTTGCTAAGTATGGTATTCGTCATAAAGTTTCTACAACTTACCATCCTCAAACAAGTGGCCAAGTGGAGGTTTCAAATAGAGATGTGTAGCAAATTTTGTAAAAAACGGTGAATGCGCAGAGGAAAGATTGGTCTTAGAAGTTAGATGATGCGTTGTGGGCATATAGGACTGTGTATAAGACATCCATAGGGACTTCTCCCTATCACATAGTATTTGGGAAAACATGTCATTTTACGACAGAATTAGAACACCACGCTTATTGGGAAATTAAGAGGTTGAACTTGGACCCCGAGCTGGCCAGTAGAAAGAGAGTGAATCAACTGCATGAACTTGATGAGTTTAGGATCCACACGTATGAGAATCCTAAGCTTTACAAAGAAAAGATGAAGAGGTGGCATAACAAGCACATAGTTACTTGTACTTTTACTCTGGGAGAAAATGTACTACTCTTTAACTCTAGATTGAGGTTATTCGCCAAAAAACTAAGGTCTAAATGGAGTGGTCCTTTAGAAGTGGTAAGAATGACACAACATGGGGCTTTTGAACATAAAGGTGAGACTGACCCTACGTTCTTGGTAAATAGGCAAAGAGTGAAACACTACTTTGGTGTGGATTCAGATCGTGATCGGGAGGCTCTTGAGCTAAATGATGAATGATCTAAGTTGTGTCGTGTTGCGATGTTAAATCAAGCGCAACACAGGAGGCAACCCGTGAATGATAGGTAATAGGTAGTAGTTTTGCTTAATTTTGAAATTTTAGCTTAGTTTCAAATTCCTAGGTGTAGAGTTTTTATTTTCTTAGTTTATTATTTAGATAAGACTTTACAAGTTATAAAGAAGAATACAAAAAGATGAGTCGTCCCACGACCAAAACTAAGGTGCTGGGTGGGAGGCAACCAACCATTATTATGTCACATTATTTGGTTGATGCGCAGGTCATGGGAGGAGAAATCGCCAGAAAACTGAATAAATACGCTGAAAAATTGAGTTGGGGTGCAAGTCAGGCGTGCCTCGCCAGAGGCTAAGTACTGAGGCTCATTTTTGGCACACTGGCAGCGCTGCGTGCCACCATCGCGCCAAGCCTCAGCAAAAACGCCGATGGCAAGCGCATCTTAGGCCCATCACGCCACTAACACTGGCGCAGGACCAGCGTGCCGCGCCAGACAAAAGTTCTGCGACCCATTTTGGGTGCACTGGTAGCGCGTCGCGCCGAGCTACCTAGCGCAGGTAGGGATCGCCGCCCCCGTATCTCACCCAAGTCAAATTTTCTGATTTTTTGGGGAAATTCGTGGGACCCCCTTAAATTCCCACCCTTTAACTCTTCCACCTATCCAAATACACCCCACTTTTCCTAATTCTCTCTCTCTAAACCGACCCCTCTCCTAATTCTCTCTAAATTCCCAACTTTCTCTTTATCTTCTCCATCTCCTTTCTTCCCCAAAATCCCAAATTCCTCCATTAATCTTTACCAAAACCTTCTTCCATTCCCTTTCCTCAACTCTAACACCCTTACACCCACTCTAACCCACCAAATTTTCAAAACCCACCAAACCTACCCACCCTACTGCCTACCCGACCTCCCTCCATTTTCCCTTTTTTTTTCTTTTTAATTCTTAATTTCTCCCATTGTTGGTTGTAAAGATGGATCCTAAGGGTAAGAATGTTGCTAGTGGTTCGGGTACTAAGAGGAGTAGGAAAGGAGCGGCCGCCAGAAGTTCTAGTCGGGAAACCACCAATTTTGCGCCCAACAAATTTGGCGAACAAGCTGTAACACTATGGAAAGGATTGGTCTGAATGTCAACAAGAATCCAAGTACCTCGGTGATGAGTGTGTGATTGAGAGGCGATTGCGACAGGGATTTCCCATATTCTCGCCCAAATCAATGCTTTGGGACTCCAATATGTCTTCATGGATCAAAGTGCGTGCAATTTAATCTTCGTCCGTGAATTTTATGTGAATTGGAATACCTGTCATGTTGAGATAAACAAAGGGTTCATTAGGGATAGTTGGGTGAGATTTTCTGTGGAAGCACTGAATGAGTTTTTGGGTACACCAAATTGTGACAATGCTGAATTTCTGGAAATGATTGAAAGACCCTTATCGTGATATTATGCATACTTTTTGTGGGGTGAATTCTGTTGCACGGTGGGATAGGGTTAGAGACACGGGACGTCATTTGACTCTTCACTATGGTCACTTCAATTTGGAGGCTCACATTTGGTTGAAAATTGTGTGTAGCACCTTACTACCGTGTAACCATACGACTGATGTCATTAGGGAGAGAGTGGTGCTAGTATACCGTTTGATGAAGGGTTTGCCGATGAATGTTGGGGTTATTTTGAAGCAAAACATGCTTAAGCTTAGGACAAATAAGAGATTGTGTTTCTATTATGGGAGCATAATTACTAGATACCTCCGTGCTTTAAAAATTGAGAAGGAAGTTCATGATGTGTCCCCCTCCCCTCGTGTCCCCACTTAGTATGCCGCTTGGTTGATGTCACAAGAACTAAAGCACACGATCCATCGCAAGGGCCTGTATTAACTGTTATTGATAGGAAAGCTCGTGATGATATTTGGATGGGGTGTATGTTTGGATTGGCTGAACTACAACTGCGGATAGGTGGCCGTCCGGTGACTGAGGATGAAATGGTGACACTAGTGGAGCGTTACCCTTTGACGGATAGCGCGATGTACATGTGTTGGATGGGCTTGACTTTCCAAGAACCCATTGATGATGATGATGCCACTGCTGATGAGGAGGATGGCTCGGAGGAGGATGAGTCAGATGATACTGGCCCTGGAGATAATGATACTGATGCGGGTGATGGAAATGGTAATGCAGCCTCGATGGCTATGGATTTTGCCACTAATGTGGCAACCCGCTGATTTGAAGCATGTGGCCTATATGCCGACATGGAGTTCTCTTTTACCTTTGCACTTTGTTTTATTTTGCACACTGAGGACAATGTTTTGTTTAAGTGTGGGGTGGAAATTGAACTTCATTGTACATAGTTTACTGCTTTATCGAGTCTTTTTAATTTTTAGGAGGGTTCCTAGCATTTTGTTTTCGGTTCTTTCCCCGAGGATAGTCCCATTGAACCGATTATGACTAGTTTTATTGCCTTATTGAGTCTTAGAGTCATCGTAGGAGTGACAGTTCTCGATGATGGATGGACGACGACCGTCTTAAGGGAAAATTAGTCACTAGGAGTAGAAAGTATGAAACCAACCTCTTTGGCACTTTGAAACCTTGTCTTGATAGTTGGCTAGACGTCATGGGTGGTAACACTTTGTTTGCATTATTAAAAGGGTGACCTTGAAAACAAACATAATCTCTTTGTCTTTACTCTAAATGAAAAATAAAGAAAATGGGCTTAATTGTGTGGAAACACCGTAATGCATTTTATGTGAGGATACTACAAGTGTTGGGTCCTTATGTGTGTCATAATGCCATGTGTGGTGAGTGTTGTTGGTTCTTGCTTCAATTGATATCAAAAACTTGCATTGTGTGTGATTGAGTTAGTAACTTGTATGACTTAGGTAATGTGATTGAGTCGTTTCTTTGAAAAAGCCAATTCTTGACTCTACTTGGATGCCTACCATTGAAATTATCCCTAGTGAAGCCCTATTGAGCCTTTAGCCTTGTTGTTGATAAGCCACATGATAAGCCGAAACCCGTTTGTTTGATACCAAAGTCTTTCGATCCTAATAAAATCCTTAATGCACTATGTTAAGAAGAAGGGTTGAAATTGTGGTTGATATGAGAAAGGGTGAAATGCTTGATTGTGTGAAAAAAAAAACTCTGTTTTGGCCCTGGTCCTTAGTGACATTGTGCACCTCAACACAATTGAGGGTGGCTATTTCAGAAATGTGCTCGAAACAGTGGCCCTGGTCCTACCAAGGACATTGTGTACCTCACTTGGACCTTAAAAATTCGAGTGAGGGTGGCTAGTGGAAAGGCATAATAATAAAAAAGAGTGAGAAATAAAGGGCAAAGATGGAGCAACAAAAAGGGGTAGATATTTATGAAGTGTGTATAGGAGGAAAGAAAAGCTAAGTAGGAGGTTGTTGGCAAAACGATGACATGTGCATTAGGGAGGTGTAGTCAGTAAAATGATTCCTAAATATTCCCCTCCCTTACCTTAAGCCGACATTACAACCAAATGAAAGTCCTCTTGATTCCTTAAGAAATATAATGCGAAAATAAGAATACACTATGGGCAAGCTTATGGCATGTTGAGAAAAGTAAGAACTTCATTTGTGAGCGTGAGAGTGAATTTTATAAAAAGAGCTTTATGATTGAAATGCAATGTTGTTGGTGTGAAAGAAAGGCAATACTTAAATTGGTGAGGGCATTCATGAAACATGTTTGGTGCTTAATCTTGTTTGGTATGTCTCTATGATATTGCATTAGCCCGGAATTATTTGAGAAGAGTCATTCATCGAGGTTGTGAATTGTTGATTGGTAGACTATAAGGAAGAATTGAAATTGTTGCATATAGTATATGCCACAAGATTATGATTAAATATGTTTGGCCGATTGTAAAGCAAGCTAAGGAGTCAAAGGTCTAAGAGTGTGATTTGACAAGATAGAGTTTGTTCGAGGACTAACAATGTTTAAGTGTGGGGTGGTGATACGCTCAAATTACACCTCCCTAAAGAAGTATAAGCGATCGTTATCAAGTAAAGAACCCAACTAGTAGGTTGGGGTCGATCCCACGAGGAAAATGGTTTAGACTTTACTTTAACCAACAATTATATTCAATTAGCCAAAGTACTTCCAGAGACAAGAAATAAAATGGGGGAATTTGTGAAACAAATTGTAAGAATTCAGTAAGTAACCAATAAACAAAAGTTAATTTCGGTTGTTATCAAGATGAGGAAAATAACTAGGGTAGACGTGTTCCCCATAAGCTCATAACACAGTATTCCTAGTAATCGCAATCCTTTCCTAGTGTGTTACATGCAAAGTGATAAGTTAGGTATCTCTAAATCCTTGATCCGGCATCTAGAGAATTTCACCCCGCACCTTGATCCGGCTACGTGTGTATAATTTACTAACCCTTACCTTTACCTCATATTAGACGTCATAATCGATGTTTGGCTTAGTTATTACTTCGCACCAATCGACACTAGCCTATTAGATAGTATCACACTAAATCTATGTTGATAATTCTTTTCTTTGTTGATTACCTCCTTGATCCGGCAAGTAGCAACAAGACGAGTTCTAATGCGTGCACTCGTTAAAAAAACTTTTAAACGAAAGAATTATCAATGCATGCAAAACACTATTCAAGAATTACTTATTTACTACTCATACCTTGTTAATCGCTCATGGTTCCCACAACCCTAGTTGTGAAGTTTAGTTACCCATAATAGCAAGACCACAATTCATAATATTAGATGAAGAAATCATGAACTTACGTAACGAGAATAATAAACCAAGAATTTCAACTTGAATTGCAAAGCCAAAATCTTCAAAACGAATGTAGAAAATCAATAATTTCTAGGGTTGCAACTTAATCTCCAAAGTCACAAAGTAAAACTAGAATAATAATGTCTAACCCCCAAAAACGAGATTTACATGCCCTATTTATAGAAAACAAATCCTAAATTAAAAGGGAAACAAATTAAGGAAAGTTTTGTTCAGGTACGCG